TAATCAAAATACTAACACTGAGCTTTCCATCCATTTTGCCTGACACATATGAATGGGATCCATGTATGCTGAGATATTGATTTCTCTCAACTTTCCATGTCCTAGTACTGCCTGAGGCAACCAGAGCCCCAGGAGCAATCTGAAATCAAGAAGGTAGCATTTAAATAAATGCTACAATAGTAAGCTGCTTCTAACTCAGTGATTCTTGATATGTGGTCCCCAGACCACCAATCTGAATATCACTTGGGAATTTGTTAGAATTTCTAATTCTCAGGCCTCACCCCAAGCTTACTGAGTCAGACTTTGTGGTGAGGCACAGCAATGTTTGTTTAAACAAGCCCTCCAGGTGATTAGGCTTTTTAAAAATTTCTCCTAAGAAATCTCCTGCATATACATTTTAAGTTTCAATTAGCATCACTGATATAGTGTTGGGTCAGCTCTACTCCATGAATTGGTTGCAACACAATTGCCCCAGGGAGATTTATTATATAGATTTCTGAACTTCACCCTCAGAGACTCAACAGGTAGAGAGTGAGGCTCAAATTCTAAACCAAACTCACTGCCATTAAGTCGATTCTGACACATAGCAACCCCCTTTTGGGCTTCTGAGGTGGTAAATCTTTATGGAAGTCGATTGCCCAGTCTTCCTTCCATGCAGTGGCTGGTGGGTTTGAACCTCCAACCTTCTGGACTAAGCAGTCAGATACCTTAGCCACTATGCCACCAGAGTTCCTTTGGGGTGAGGCTGGGCATCTGCAATTTAAAAATGCTTCCAGATGACTTTGATGCACAATTAGGTTTGGAAAAACTGTCATATTTAGATTTAAAAGCCAAACTTTAGGTGTAAATAGGTAACCAATACATTTGTCTTCTTTAGTTTTCATCTTTAATGTTGATAATAATGTCATCATCTATCATGATTTTGTGAGGATCAGTGAGATAATGTTCACAAAAATGTTGAACAGTTCTGGATAGAAAGTTAATTATCTGATTAGTGAGATTCTTTTTAAGACATTCATGACTATACAGATAAGGTGAAGCCTTGGAATGCCTGTCATGTCACAATCCTGTTCCAAAGATGTCCATGCTCATAACCCCATTCCAAGGAATTCCCTTACCACAGCCCCATTCATGGACTTCTTATATCCACAGCCTTATTCCAAGAAGTCTCATGCACTTAAGCCCCTACCAAAGTGTACCTAATTGAGAGTGATTTACTAAAATAATTAGACATTTCATTAAGAAAGCTTAAATAGCAAAATACAAAGACGTTTGTTCATAACAGAGTAGAAATTGAAAAAGAAAGCAAAGGCAGTCTACTCACACCATGAGTCAGGAGATCAGTGGTTCTCCAAATTTTTGGTCATAAGACTCTTTCACACTCTTAAAAATTTGTTAAAGTCTTCAAAGGCCTTTTGTTTATGTAACATATCTATAGACAGTTACCATATTAGAAATCAAAATGAAAAGTATAAAAAGTCATGCATCATTTCATTTAAAAATACTAAAAGTTATTACATGTTAACATAAACAGCATAAAGACAACTGTATTTTCCTCTCCCCAAAAAATGTGATAAGATGTATTGTTTCACATTTTTGAAAATTTTTTTAGTGTCTGATTTAACAGAAGACCAGACCACTGGATCTTCATATCTGCTTTACATTCAATCTGTTCAGTTTAAACAGTTGCTATGAGGTTTGTTATACACACAACAGACATTCCCTATCTATCTATCCATCTATCATATTTCAAGGCATTTGAACCAGTTTGGTTACTCAGTATAAATAATAATTAAATTTTCTTCTTTTTTGGTTTAATAGTAGTTCTCCCCCGGGTGGCATTTTTTTGTTTTGTTTTATTTTCATTTGAATGGGCTTTGCTTTTTCATAAATAATATAAACATCATTCTCAACTCTAGTTCTCTTTGCTAATGGAGAGACGAGCTAATAATTGAGGAAAGGTTGAAAACAAAGTTATGTCTGTAAGATGAAATATAACAAACCCATTGAAAATATACAAATTTCTCACATGTGACTTGAGTGAAAAAGTAGTATAAAGTATAATAATATAAATATCACACTCAAATATATATATTATATATGCATATATAATATATTTACATATCTATGTATATTTTTCATAGCCTAGAAAAATATATATGAAAATATTACTTATAATTATATCAGGTTAACTTATTGTATTTCTATATTTCTCCAAATTTATTTATTATATATTATTTTATTATTAAAATAATTATTTAAAATAAATATAAATATATTATATGTATATAGATATAAAGTAATTTGATTTTTATTATTTATGACTATAATAGAAAATATAAGTGTGCTGGTGATATCAGAATTTGATATGGATATACTTGTTCTAACTTCCTATTTAATTCAGAGGCTGGCACAAATGAGACATTCAGCTTGTCCTTGGAGACCACAGGTAGTGGGGCTTCCCAGGATGAGTTAGCAGTTTGTAAACCCTATTACAAAATCTGATGAACAGGTTCCAGTCCCGCAATTAGCCACAGTTCAAGATATAAACATAGTGAATATTAGTTGTGTGTTCCCCCCTCCCCCGGAAAAGACCTAAAAGTGAGACTGGTACAGCAATGTTCATACTATATGTTCTGGTTACCTAGTGCCGCTCTGACAAGAAATATACCACAAATGGGATGGCCTTGACAAACAGGAGTTTATTCTTACAATTTGGAGACTTTAAATCCAAGTTCAAAGTGCCAGGCTCTAGGGGCTGGGTGAAAGCCCTCAACCTTGGGGTCCAGTTCTGCCTCCTGCTCCCGGCCCACTGGAGGTAGAGGCATTTCTTCACTCAGACAGCTGCTGGCTGCTAAGGCTGTGAAGTCTCAAGGCTGACAAGTAAAAAGGCATAGTCTCAATGTTACTAAACCACATGGCAGGCCATTAACTTAAGTCCATTGTAAGTCCCAAGGTCAGCAGAGCATGGCAGGCTACTGAGCAACAACACGGCTACATGCAGGGTCCAAGCGTGCCAAAGGCTAGAGACCATTCCCAAGGCTTCTCCTTAAATACAGGAAGCAGACCACATCCCAAAGGCAGCTACTCAGCTGCTCCCAGTAGATTCCACCATGGAGTTGATTACCAGTCTCATCATGGGGAATACTATACCCAGCTGCCCGGCCACTCAACCAGGCCTAGCCAAGTTGACACAAAAACAAAACCACCACACCATAGAATACTAAAAGTATCATGTAAGGGACAATAAAATGTAAATTTGGTACATTTTATGTATACATTATTTCAAATTACTAGCAAACCAAATATGACGTGAAATAGAAAACAGATAAATTGACCAAACTAATTTATGTTGATCAGTCAAATAAACTCTCTATTTTTTTCTTTCAAAGATTTGTGAAAGATTTTTATTATTATTATTTAAATTGCCTTTTTTATGGACATAATGGAGGAAAGGCAAAGAAAATTAAGGTTGAATGTCAATTCTTGTCATCACTTTCAAGAGTAGGTGCTACACTGAATAATGAAAAGAAAACCAAATAGAGAGGGTACTGACTTTAGAGACATAAGACTTAGGTCTGAGTTCCAGTTCCATCATTGAGTATTGGTTGAGTTGCCTTAGGTATGTGTCTGGACCTCTCCAAGGATAACTTTTTCAACTGTAAAACTGAGATAATTCCACTGCCTATCTTACAAAGTTCTTAGGAGAGCAAAATAAATAAGTATGTGTTGAAATATTTTGTAAAGTAAAACAAATACACACAAACATCTACTTGTTTCTTTCTTTTAATCCATGGCAAATTTCAATCCACTTTCATTGTAATTTATTTAAAATTAAAATAACTGTCTATTTTCCTGTAGTTGTTCAGTAGCTGAAGAGGATATTATACAAGTTTTAAACAGTTATCTTAAGAGGTATAAGACATTGCAGGAAATATTTTTCTCCCCCAAAACAGAGATCCTTAAAGAGCAAAATCTAGTCAAATCTGACACCAGATTTTAAAGTTTTTACCTTGAATTGCAAAAACCAGTTACTTCTGGGACTTCACTGGCAGCAATCTCTCCCATATTCTCTTTCAATGTGAGTTTAATGCTTCAGGAGGCTGGAAAATATTTTTTGTTTGGTAAAAAATGATGACCCTAAATTGTGTGTGTTTGTGTGTGCACACGTGCACATGCATTCCAGCCCTATTAGCACCTTATTTTGTGTCAACCTAACTGAAATTAAAAGCAAAATAAGACCTTCAGTATATCTGAGTGTTTTACCATGATGTACAATTTCAAGGTGTAATTTACATTTTACTAATTACACCCATGAATCTCTTTGGCAAATAGTTATGTGCACCAAAATAACAAAATTATTATTATATTGTTTCAAGTCTTAGACTAATCCTTATGTAAACCAGAAAATTTTCAGTGATCTGAGAAAACAAATTTATGTTGATCAGTCAAATAAACTCTCTATTTTTTTCTGATTTCTAACACCACTGGCACTCCAGGACAAGTACTAGTTATCCAAATGTATTTCTTTCAAGAAAGTTTTATGTACACACACACAAAAAAATTTAAGTACACAGATTTTTAAGTATGTAAAAAGAGAGAGAGAGAGAGAGAGCGACATCCTTATACATCCAACATCAAAATTTAGTGCCTTGTATATCCTGGTGGTGGGAGATGGGCAGGAAGTTGCCAGAGAAAGCACACAAAATACAAATAAGTCCAGTGAATCCATGTTAAGGAGATACAATGTATTTTACATCATTCTTCCTCTTCATCATCAATTCTTTCTGAGACAGAGAATTCTCCTGAATGGCTGTTGGAACTTAGAATTACTTAAAACTATTATAAGTGAATGGCCAGAGGGATATGCTGCCATTATGTCTTTTAGCACAAAGAACCACTGACTTCCATAAGGAATACTAAATGTCATGTTTGTAATGAAGGCAGCAAAATAAGAAATAAAGAAGCAAAAGAATGTTATCACCATTTTTAATGCATTTATGTGGGCTTCAGTGCTAGCATTTCTAAAACCATGAGCTCTGTTTTGCATCCGATGGGTGTGTTTGAAAACAGAGATGAAGAGCATAAAAGTACATTTCACAAATATGGCTAGGGGGACTATTAATGCCAAGTTGACAAGTAGCACTTCATTGATTTGCTTTATCGTGACTTTGGTCTTCTTCAGCGTAGCATTTCTGAGTACGTCATCATCTACATTTTTAGGGTAATCAAGCTCAATACATAGAGCTGCAATGCTCACAGAGGTCACCAAGCTTCCCAAAAGCAGCCACGGCATTAACTTTGTGATCCTGAATTTCAACCAAAGAAAATAGGACTGAGTGAAGCCTGAAATCTTGAGGCAGTAAAATACAGAAAGGCAAGTGGCAAACCAGAGACTGACAGAATTTAAAAACATCCAAAGAAATAGCATCGCTTTACCATGAATGTTTGTCCGATAGAAGACTGGAAAGAACACAGGGGAAACACTTTGTACCACTAACACCATCTGCAGACCAAGTCTAGACATCCCCATACACAACATGAGGAGTTGTATCGATGTTAGCTTTCTACTTTTCATCAGTTCATTACAGTTCATGATGACAAGAAATCCATTTACTGTAATCCTTGTGATAAATTCTGCTGACATGATGATAATATGAGGAAGAGCTGATAAAGAGTACAACATGTTTCCTACCACAAAGCTTTGCTTTTTTCTTGTGGGTGGTCTTAAACACCTCCTTCAGGAGACCTTGCAGATAAGAACATGCAGTACTGAGAAGTATGATCTTCTGCCAACTCCTGGATCGTAGGTAGAGTCCTAGGCTAGATTTCTTCCTTAAAGAAGAACAATCCAAAAGACTACTTTTTGAATCTGGTGCTCCTCAAATGCACCACTGGGAATGCAAATCCAAGGATTTGAATGATGGTTAAGTCTTCCAATTACATCCTAAGGACAATCACCATATCGGCATTATTCCATTTTCACTCAGACTCAGTCTTGCCAAAAAGCTGATTATAAATATGCTTCACTTAGATTATTGATATTTCCTTTGTGTCTGTTATCTTGTCCTAGTTCCAAAAGCCACGGGACAATTATTTGCCATTACTGCCACAAATATCTAATCTCAAATGTGACCTTTCTCCAGCTCAATTTTTGTCTGATAATAATTCTAAAACTATTGGGTGAATCTTTCTCTGCCATACCCATCTCATGAAAGGCAATCTCCTCTCCAGACTTGAAAATCAGCTCCTGGTATCTAACTTTTTATAAGAATCTTTTCTCTCATGTTTTCACAGCCTTCTTTGCAGAATGCAGACCTGAGGGTCAGCTAACCAGGTAACAAAATTAGTGCATGATTAATCCACATGCTGATTTCAACTAATAATGGTCATGTTGAAAAGCATCATTTCAAAGGGTACAGATGTTTTAACTGCCAGCAGAGGGCAAAATTACCTCTGTGTTAAAATGAGCTTGTTTCCTTATTTTACAAAGAGATGTTCACATAATCTTGCTGAACTTGTTACATCACATGTAAAATGTAAATAAACTATTGTTACTTCATGAAATAGGATATATGCTCAAAGAACTTCGCTCAGTGGCTGGGCCACTCGAAGCACTCAGCAAATGTTAACAACAAAACTGTTGCAATTGAACTGATTTTTCTAAAGTAGATTGCCAAGCCTCTGGGTGGATTCAAACCTCAAATTTTTTGGTTAGCAGTCAAGTGCTTAACTGTTTCCACCACACTGGTGCTCCCAACAATTGTTAGTTATTATTAATACTATTAAATCTGCCCCTATTCTGCACTTACCACAGCAAGAAAATAATAATTCTATTTAGAAATATTTTCAACCAGAAGAATAAAAAACATTGTAAGTGTATTAAAAATAGAAAAACCAATGGATGATCATGCTACCTACCGTCCACACTGACCATGGTCTTTAAAGTACCCCAGGAGCATCCGTAGAATGTACATTCACTAGCCCATGAAAGCCAATGTCAATGCTACCTGTGTAACCTTCGTCTGCCACCTCCATCACCCTCCCCACCAGTTTTCTACACATCATAGCTATCCAAAATGCAGCAAGATTCATCCCGTCTATCTCTTCTAAAACGCTGGGTTTGTGAATAGTATATCAATTTGGCTTCCAGTTTCAAGACTTCATCTTTCTTGCCTATAAACCATGACTTTGTCCAGTAAAAGACATTTGCCTTGCCTCATGGTCTCGAGGAGGAATTTCAATCCAGGCACAGGTAAAGAAATTTTATTTCAATTTCAAACTCTAGACCAGTATTATGACCCTAAAGTTGTGGGGCAAAAGATGAAATTTGGACAGTTTGCAGCTTAGTTTCCTAAGTTACTATCTGAGATTGGCTTATATGAATTGAATGATTGCATTTCAAAGGGTCTAGTAATGATGAAGGAGCTCTGGTAGCATAGTGCCTAAGGCAGAAGGTTAGAGGTTCAACCCCACTAGCCACTCCGTGGAAGGAAGTTGGGGCAATCTACTTCCATAAAGGTTTACCACCTTGGAAACCCCATGGGGGTTGTTGTGAGTTGGAATTGACTCGATGGCAGTGAGTTGTTTTTTGCTTTAATAATGATCTTAGGCTTCTATTTTCCAAATATTCAATCTGAATTAAGTTTACTATGAACGTGTTTCACTAAATGAATTTGTGTTAAAGTTGCTTGAGCAAATGAGAAACCCCAATTTAGCATATACGTAACCAGGCAGATGATATAAATACATTGAGATTTTTTTGGTTTTCTTTTTTCTTTTAATCATGTTGTCATTGTTAGATGCCATGGAGTCGGTTTCAACTCATAGCAATCCTATGTACAACACACTGCCCAGTGCTGTGCAATCCTCATAATTGTTGCTATGCTTGAGCCCATTGCTTCCCCTTTTTCAATGATCTTCTACTTTATCAAGCATGCTGTCCTTCTCCAGGGCCTGGTCCCCCCTGATAACATGCCCAAAGAATGTGAAAGAAGGCTCGCCCTCTTTCTTCTAAGGAGCCTTCTGGCTGTAAATTCTTCCAAGTCAGATTTGTTCATTCTTCTCTCAGTCCATGGTATATTCAATATTCTTCACCAAAACCATAATCCAAAGGCCTCAATTCTCCTTCAGTTGTCCTTATTCATTGTCCAACTTTCACATGCATATTAGGCGATTGAAAATACTATGGCATGGGTCAGATGCACCTTACTCTTCAACGTGGTATCTTTGCTCTTTAATACTTTAAAGAAGTCTTTTGCAGTTTATTTCTTGATCATTACTTTCATGGACATTGATTGTGGATTCAAGTAAAATGAAATCCTTGACAACTTCAATCTTTTCTCCATGATCAGATGTTGCTTCTTGGCCCAGTTGTTAGGAATTTTGCTTTCTTTATGTTGAGGTGTAAATCATATTAAAGGCTGTAATCTTAGATCTTCATCATTAAGTGCTTCAAGTCCTTTTAATTTTCAGCAAGCAAGATTGTTATCATCTTCATATCACAGGTTGTTAATGAATTTTCCTCCAATCCTGATGCCATGTTCTCCTTCATATAGTCCTGCTTCTTGGATTATTTGCTCAGCATGCAGATTGAATATGTGCGGTAAAAGGACACAACCCTGACACACACCTTTCCTGATTTTAAACCAAGCAGTATCCCCTGCTAAATGACTGTTTCTTGGTCTGTGTACAGGTTTCTCACAAACACAATTGTTTTGGAATTCTCATTCCTTGCAATGTTATCCATAATTTATTATAATTATTTTAGTCAATTATCTTTGCATAGTCAAGAAAACCTGGAGAAATATCTTTCTGGTAATCTCTGCTTTCAGCCAAGATCCATCTAACATCAGTAATGATATACCTTGTTCCACATCCTCTTCTGAATCCAGCTTGAATTTCTGGCAGTTCTCTGTCTATGTATTCCTGTAACCGTTTTTTGAATATTTTCAGCAAAATTTTACTTGCATGTGATGTTAATGATATTTTTTGATAATTTCCACATTCTGTTGGATCATCTTTCTTTGGAATGGGCATAAATAAGGATCTCTTCCAGTTGTTTGGCCAATTTATCAGTATAGCAGTGTTGCATCTGTTTATTGAAACATCTCAATGGGTATTCTGTTCATTCCTGATGCCTCGTTTTGGGCCAATAATTTCAGTGTAGTTTGGACTTCATTCACTACCATCAGTTCTTGATCATATGCTACCTTTTGAAATGGTTGAACATTGACCAATTCTTTTTGGTACCATGACTCTGTCATTCCACAACTCATCTGGTCTTCTGTCATTGGTGTTTGATGTGTCACATCTATTCTTGAGATAAACTCTAAATTCAGGTGGAATATACACAAGGTCATATTTCGGCTCCTATAGATTTGTTTTGATTTTCTTCAGCTTCACTTTGAACTTGCCTAGGAGCGATTAACGGTCTATTTCACAGTCAGCCTCTGGCCTTGTTCTGCCTGATGATATTGAGCTTCTCCATCATCTTTTTCTACAAATGTAGTTGATTTGATTCCTTTCTATTCCATCTGGTGAGGTCCACATGTATTGTCACTGTTTATGTTGTTGAGAAAGGGTATTTGCAATGAATATCATCTTTTTTTTATCATAACTGATGCCTGTTGCTTTTTGCTTATAATGTTGCAAGGTATTGTGGAAAGGATATGTGCATATTACTCTAAATACCTGCTATTCCAGCACACTAATGAGGATCTACTTATATTGCAAATTCCTTCACTTTAATAACCAGAATTTAGGGGAACAACAATAAATAATATTTATCTTTTTCATTTTCTATTTTTCCTTTTTCATGGTCTTTTTTCTCAATTTCCCACAGTAAACTAAAGTAATAAAAGATGGGCGAATGTATGGAAATTCTTGTTAGCTAAAAAATTAACACATTGATTATAATTATAATGAATATCTTTGCTAATTATATTCACAAAAAGCATTCTTTTTTTTTTAGGATTTGGGTGACAGAGTAAATTCACTTTTCATACAGCAGTTCACATATACTTTGTCTCATGTCATTGACCAAAATTTACAATGCAGCAGCTCCCCTCCCACTTCCTCCCCATAGTTACCTCCTCCCAGTGTCCATCCCTTCATACTCTTCTGCACCCTGAGCTATCTCCCTGTGCATAAGCAGCCCTTCCTTCTCCCATGATTGTTCTCTCCAGGGCGTGTGTCTACTTGAGGTAAACGTTTAACTCACATTGTTTGTACTTTGTTTGGCTGGAAACCACAGTTGTGGTTCAATTCCAGACCTGAAGGGCAGCTAGGGGCCATAGTCTCAGTGGTTACACCAGACTCTATTGGACCAGCAAACCTGGTCCCCACCTTCAAAAAGCATTCATTTTTAAAACTACATTTTTTACAAAAGCAACCTCTGAATGCATTTGTACCCACTCCTCATTTATCAGGAGGTCTGGTGGCATAGTGCCTAAGGCATTTGACTGCTAACCAGAAGGCTGGTGGTTCAAACCCACCAACCACTCCTAGGAAGGAAGACTGGGCAATCTACTTCCGTAGAGATACCACCTTGGAAACCCAAAGAGGAGTTGCTATGAGTCGGAATCGACCTGACGACAATGAGTTTGAGTTCCTCATTTATGGATATTGTTAGGTTGGGAAGACCAGGTCATCATGCAAAATCAGTGTTGTGCAAGGAAGTAGAGG